TGGTTGGAGATGTGGAACAGCCAGAGCTGACTGGTTACGTTGCCGCTCTCGTCTACCTTGCCTCCGTACATGTAGATTTTGTTCTGGAAGAAAGAGAGAGGATATTTATAGATATTTTTATATATATACAGACAGACAGATGATAGATAGATAGATAGATAGATAGATAGATAGATAGATAGATAGATAGATAGATAGATAGATAGATAGACAGACAGACAGACAGACAGACAGACAGACAGACAGACAGACAGACAGACAGACAGACAGACAGACAGACAGACAATTATTTTTTATAATCACAAGTGCTTAAAATAGTACCAGCAACATATTGTCTGGGTTTCACTGTCTAGTTTACTAATACGTATCCAGTTCCTTTCTCTCTACCTCGTTTTTCTAGCCAATAATAAAAAGTACCCCATGTTCTAAAATAAACTGAATCTTCTCGGAGTCCTAGTGGACGATCCCTTAAATAGGAGCCAGCCGTGTGCTGCAGCTGCCAAAAAGGACAACACAGTGCTAGGCTGCATTAACAGAGCGATAGGATCAAGATCACTTGAAGCGTTAATACCACTTTACAAGACCTTGGTAAGGCCACACTTGGAATACGGCATCCAATTTTGGTCACCACGATGGAATTTTTTAAGAAGAGACTGGACAGCCTTTTGTCTGAAATGGTATAGGGTTTCCTGCCTGAGCAGGGGGTTGGACTAGATGACCTCCAAGATCCCTTCCAACTTTATTATTATTATTATTATTATTATTATTATTATTATTATTATTATTATTATTATTATTATTATTATTATTATTATTATTACTCTTTCCTTTTCAATGTCAAAAGATCCATTTCTGCACACTCTTCAGATTTTTTTAATTCACACTTCCTCCGCTGGTCGATCTTCCTTTTTCCAATATTGAGCAAATACAATTCTTGCTGCAGTTAATATATGTCAAATTAAATATATACGCTCTAGAAGAAAGAGGAAGGATATTGACAGACGCGTTAAGAGTTCCCTCTGGCCTCTCCACTAGGAGAGGGAGTCCTTGACTTGCAAGCACAAGGGAGCCCCAAATTTTGGTTGTTAAGGGAGATGGTTGTTAAGCGAGGCTTGCCCCCATTTTACGACCTTCCTCGCCATGGTGGCTAAGTGAATCGCTGCAGTTAAGTCAGGAACACGGTCGTTAAGCGAATCAGGCTTCCCCCATTGAGGTCGCAAAGGGAGATCACGTGACCCCGAGGGACGCGGCGACCGTCGTAAATAGGAGTCAGCTGCCAAGCGGCTGAATGTTGATCGTGTGGCCACAGAGATGCTACGGCGGTCGTTAAGTGTAAAAAATGGTCCTAAGTCACTTTTTTTCAGCGTTGTAACTCTGAACGGTCATTAAATGAATGGGTGCAACCTTGTATCTGCCCAATTTCTCCAACCACCTGGGCGAAACCAGCAAAGGGTCTTGTGATAACAAGTCCCTCAAAGTACAACCGCAGCGGAACCCAAAAATGTGGGTCGCTAAGAGAGACATTTAGAAAAGGGAGCTTCAACCCCATTTTATAACCTTTCTCGCCGCAGTTGTAAAGTGAATCCCTGCCGGGGTTAAGTTACCCACACGCTGGCTAAGGGACCTGGCTTCTTCCCCCGTTAGCTTCGCTTGTCAGGCCGCAAAAGGAGATCGCGCGATCCAGGGACACGGTGACCGTCGTGAATGTGAGTCATTTGCCCGGCATGGGAACTTTGATCAGGTGACCATAGGACAGGGGTAGGCCACCTTGGTTCTTTTATGACTCGTCGACTTCAACTCCCAGAATTCCTGAGCCAGCCTGGGGGAACTATGGCCCTTTCATGACTTGAGGACTTCAACTCCCAGAATCCCTGAGCCAGCATGGCTCAGCTTGGAAGCCTCTCCCTTTCCCCTCAGCATGGCTGGCTCAGGAATTCTGGGAGTTGAAGTCCACGAGTCATAAAAGAGCCAAGGTTGCCTGCCCCTGCCATAGGGGGATGTTGCTAGGAGTTGTGATCAATAATGGTCCCCGAGTCCCCGTTGTCAAACAGAACTGAAGCCATTTTCATTTTTGTCTTCGTTGCCACATTAATAATAATAATAATAATAATAATAATAATAATAATAATAATAATAATAATAATAATAATAATAATAATAATAATAATAATAATAATAATAATAATAGTTGGAAGGGACCTTGGAGGTCATCGAGTCCAACCCCCTGCTCAGGCAGGAAACCCTATACCCATTTCGGACAAAGTGCTGTCCAGTCTCTTCTTAAAAACTTCCAGTGTTGGAGCATTCACAACTTCTGGAGGCAGGTTGTTCCACTGGCTAATTGTTCTAACTATCAGGAAGTTTCTCCTTAATTCCAGGTTGCTTCTCTCCTTGATTAGTTTCCATCCGTTGCTTCTTGTCCTGCCTTCAGGTGCCTTGGAGAATAGCTTGACTCCCTCTTCTTTGGGGCAGCCCCTGAGATACTGGAAGACTGCTATCCTGTCACCCCTCATCCTTCTCTTCATTAAACTAGGCCAGTGGTAGGCAACCTTGGCTCTTTTATGACTGGTGGACTTCAACTTCCAGAATTCCTGAGCCAGCCATGCTGAGGGGAAAGGGAGAGGCTTCCAAGCTGAGCCATGCTGGCTCAGGAATTCTGGGAGTTGAAGTCATAAAAGAGCCAAGGTTGCCTAACCGTGAACTAGACATACCCAATATTAATTTCTGAGATTTCAGCTAAAGGAGAAAGGAGGGGAGGTGTAGTTTTCAGTTAGCCAAAACAGCTTCTGTCTGTGAGAACCAAAGTCAATGCTGATTAACATTTTGGCAGGCTAAAGTGCTGGGAGGAGAGCCGGCGGCCTTTCGAAACAATTGGTGAGTGTGGTTTATGACAGCAAATTGGGATGGGAATTGCAATTTTTTTAACTTTGCAGCCCGAGGGACGGGATTTTAGTCTTGGGTTCACCTTTGTACGTGCCCATGTCTTGTTTCCTAAATAAAATGTTCTTTAAGGAAGAAATCCTTGCCTCAAAGTTCTTTTCAAGGGTTTTGTCTATCGGAACCGTGACAGGTTCAGGGCCGTTGGGACTTCAAAGACACTGTCGTAACATGAGGACTACCTCCATCACTTCGATCGAAGCCAGGTTTCAGAGCCGAGCCAAGTTAGAAAAGTCTCAAGGATGTAAAATTAAAACAAAAAAAGCCACTTACTTCGTGTAAGGCTATCGAATGGCCGTATCTGATCCCCACGGTGTTCACAGAACCGCCCAGGGTCATCCATTCTCTGGACTCCAGGTTATACCTGTGCGATAAAAAAAAAGCACAAAACACAACGCCTGTCTCCTTTCGCCCTGGAGAACGCAGCCGTTGTCGTCCTCGCCGCGCCAAGATAGGAAACAAGGGAAGCCAGACGGAGAAAGGCCAGGGATATTTACGGATGGACCTGCTATGTCAATAAAAATAAAGCTGATTTAGGTATCAGCTATTCTGCTTTTTTATAGCCAAGAAAGCCTTTGCGCTAATGCTCGAAAGCCAGGGAACCAGGGAAACGAGAGGGCAGCTTTGCCCCATTTGTTCAGAAGCCATCTTGCACACCCCTCCCGGGAAGCCTTCGAGGCAGCAGAAGAATAAGCAGCGTCTCCTCTGGAGGAATTAAGACGGGTCTGAAAAGGTCGTTACACGCCCGGGTTTTCTTTACTAACACTGTGTCAGTTTCATAAAATCCTCAAAGAGCCACAAAATGAATAGAGGAGAATTTGGAGCTCAGGGTTGAAATTATTATTATTATTATTATTATTATTATTATTATTATTATTATTATTTAAACTTATATGCCGCCCTTCTCCCTATAGGACTCAGGGCGGCTCACAGCATATTAAAACACACAAACGCCATTCCCCATAAAACCAATTAAAAACCAAATATTTGTCGCTGTATAGTTAATTAAGATTCAAATTAAAATTATCCCTATTT